CATCGCTTTTGCTGCTCATGACAGTTCTATCCATGTGCAACACAAACACCATAGGGTACAAGACGCAGCTTCGGCGGAGACCAGTGCCAACGTTGAAAGGCTTCGACATATCGCCATTTACTCTGGCGCAGCATCTGCTCTCGGCATACTGTGATTGAATGACCCGTCGTAACTTGATATCGATTACATATGTTCGCTTTCACACCCATAGATTGTGTCGCGGAATCCGGTCTTTGCTTTCTTTTGGCCCTTAAGGCAGATATAAACCGGTTAATCGAACTGCCGCTATTTATTAACTAAAGCGAATATCTGGTCAGATGTGCTTCAGATGTATTTCCCCAACAATTTGAGCATTCCCTATGGTCTCCGTTCTTGAAGTGTAACAAGGCCGGTTCTCCTGTCCGTTGGTGTATTCCCCGTAGCCATTGCAGTTTGACATACACGCCTAAGCTGGCACATGCTTTATTCAATGCTTTGAACATTTCAGGGCTGGATTTCATCAATTCCAGCAGCCCTTCCACCTTTCATACTTTTCACAGCTTGTGTAATTTCATCTGCAGAAATATCCGTACCCTTCTGCTCTGCAGGCGAGTCTTCCCCTGCGGTTTTGCGGGGTTAAGGAGTTCCTCTAAGTACTCCCTCCATCGCCGAAGAATGTCATCATCCTTGATAAGAGGGTGTCCAGACCTGACCTTCAAGACTCCGAGATTGCCCTTCTTTTCACCTCGGAGCCATGGAGGTGGGTTGATCTGGTAGAATACTATGTTCACTTTCTGGAAATTCGAGTCATTCGCCTCACCGAACTTCTTCTAGGAATCAGCTTTGGTTTCGCCCCTGTTTTCATTGCCTTGTGTTTTGACATGTCGCATGCGTGTAAAAAGATCTTTGCCTTCAAGCCATTTCTTGAATGCAATCTTATTCTCTTTAACTGTCAGTTGTACCTCTCATGCCCACCAGGAAGTTCTTTTCTGACCTCTTGGTGGCTGTTCAAATAATTTGAATCCTCGGCATTCGGGGCATAGCCCCCTGTACGCCGCTCCTAAAAAGATCCTGCTCGGTTTCCACATTAGGGGTTTTCACCAGGATCCGTTGAAACAATCTGCGATGATGTTTGCAAGTTTCGTCTCTTATCCACTGATGATTATGTTTTCCGTTTGATTCTCTGGTTACTTCTGCCACCACACTGTTGTATGGAACACCATTTCTCGGAGAGAGCTCTGCATCTGTTTTAACGCCAGCATCTGTTATAGAGCGTCACAAGCCAGATGATTTTCAAACTGATCATCGTCTTCTTTGCACGAAGTTCCTTCTACCAAGTATAATGATGCAACCTTTGATGTTCGAACATGTTGATAACAGATTGTGTTTTGTTTGCACTAAGTCGGAACAAGTTCACTCCTTTCCACTCTTCAGGTCTGCTCTCTCCTGCGCATCACAATCGCCCACTAAACTGTGGGATTCCTTAGTCGGCACAGTCGGCACTTCATACAGAGCGTACTCCACTACCTCACGGAAGGACTCATGTTATTCCTCCAAATTGAGCGCACGCGCCTGTAACAAGCTCAACGCTTTAGCCTGTTGTTGCTTCAGTCGGAGAACTGCTACTCTTCCGCTGACAGGATTCGATTCAGTGATTCTGTCGTTCAGGTTGGGTTCTGTCCGAACACCAGTACGGGCCTGGGCGCGTATCGTGACTTCGACACCTGAGTAAAATAGCTTAAATCCGCAGAGATTCAGGATTCCTGAACTTCGGCGCTTTGTTGACGAAAGTCAATCTGTATCGTGTTGGTACCTTGCGGCATCATCAGCGAGCTCCGACTCCTTGTTTGTTCATTTGCGATGTTGTCTGCAAATTTCGCTCTCGTGCCCACCGAAGATAATGTTTCCTATTTGATTCTCCAGTTGTTTCTGCCACCAGATCTAGAAATTGTACTCCATTTCTTACAGTGCAGCGTGCCAACAACAAGGTGATGATCGGTTGATAGCTCTGCGCCTCTTT